TGGCACAGCCGCCAACCTGGCCCCCACGACATGCCCTCTTGGTCAGCAAGTGGTGCGCAGGGAAAAGACCAGCTTTAGTCTCCCTACCCACCCGCCCCTCAGAGCAAAGTTTCAGAACTGAGAATCCCCTCATGTTTTACGTGGCTATTGCCTGTGTGACCGACAACGAAGGCGAACTGTACTCGGATCCCTTTCTTCCCTAGGCGGAACAGACAGAGTTCTCCCCGGGAAGCACCTCTAGAGTGCAAAGGGAAGAGTCCAGGGGCCTGGTGACTACGAGGAGCTGCAACAAGTGCACGCTGACCGGACCCTTGCCTGCGGTGTGTGCCAGAAGCAGGAATCAGGGACATGGCAGAACAGTTTCCACGATTAAAGCCAAGCATACGGGAACGAATGATACTACAAAGAACAGCTAGTCCCAGGTGATGCTGGGAAGAAGCTGAAGATCCTTAACATTCAGCGATACTCTCAGTTCATGGAAGATGACTGCAGATCAGCAGAGGTTCGTTTCTGGGATGACGTTCGGAGTAATTTGGGTAATGGCCTCCTGACACGAGATGGGCTGCACTTCACAGCTCATCGCGATCATGCGCTTCATTGTCCATAATCTAATGCTCAGAGTAGGGAAATAAACAACATGAGCTTCAGCTCTTAGCAGAAAAAGGCAAATATGACTTCCGAGGTGAAAGGGAGACCTGGTGGGATGTCTCCCAGGTGGGAATATAACGACTGCTCAAAAGGAGCAGAAGCAGCAGAAAGGGAGGATTGCAATCTCTGGTAAAAATACCCATTTTTGCCCAGAAATCCAAAGGAATGAGCTTGGCAGCGTGATAGGCAGCGTCCGGATTAAAATAAATGGAGAAGCGAATGCCCGCGATCACCCACCCACCCCGCCAAGGAGAAGACCCGGATGATGTCTTCCTAAGGGAAACTGCAGACCTTTCAGTGAGGCACGAAGTCACAGTGATGGGGAACTTTAATTACCCCGACTAAGTTCAGAGACAATCTTCTTGACAACTTTCTCCTTTAGAGAAAGATACAAACAGATAATCTATCCCTAGCTTGAGCTAATCAACAGGAAGGTTTAGATGAAGACATGAAAGCCACAGGAGCACGGGAGGAAGGCGGCTGTGGCATGCTGCAGTTCTTGATTTTAAGAGAAACTGAAACTGAACGTCGTCTAACGCCTACCTTGGACTTTCAAAAAACAGGTTTCATAAACTCAGAGCAACGATAAGGAGGATCCCTGGCGCGGGAAGCAAAAAGAATTCAAGACAAATGGGAGTTCACAAATAAGGACTTACTAAAAACGGAACAGCAGAGCGAGGAGAAACAGAGGCCAAGGTCGCAACGGAACCGTAGAAGGAATGTGGGGAAAGTGGAAGGAGGAGGAGGCCGCCAAAGGATGCCAGAAGTTCTTCTTCTGATACGCTCGAAAAGAACGGGCGTGCTAGCTCCTCAGTGCGAAATGCTAACAGGTAACAGAGAAAAGGCAGAAGTCTTTCGGTCCAGCCTCTCCAACAGGAAAAATTCCACCAGGAGACTGTGAAAAGTGATGACGGATGATGGGCCTAACTGAAGTTTAAGATGGAGAGAAATAGGGTCAGGGGATGAATTTCAATCTCCAGGCCAGAGGAATCGCATCATGGGCAAGTGAAGATCCCCCAGCCAAGCCCTTATTCCCACATTCCCAGCAGAAAGCAGATCCCCCTTCCTTTTTTACCCTCCCCACTTAAAAAGACTTCACGCCCAGGTGCTGGCCGTCTTCAGGGGTGGGTGGTTATTTACGGAGTTGGGATTGGCTTGGTTTGGACTGTTTTTGTCTTTGAAATTGAGACAGGGGCTGATCCACCTGCTCTCACCTTCCATTAGCTGAGGTGGAGGGTCCCAATCCCGCCGATGAGGCGGAGGTCCCACACGTGCCTACAGCCTTCTCATGCCGTCTCCCTTGCCAAAGCTCTTGGCGGAGCCGGAGACCTGGTGGAGTGGAATGGGCAGGAGGCGTTGCTGCGCAGAGAAGGAGGAACCAGCCAAGGAGCGATTTCTGATCATCTTCTGTCCTTCCTCCCTCTTCTCTGCCCTTTGGTTCCATTCATCACCTTCTCCAGCCGTCCTGTGTTCTCCCAATCCTCTGCTCGCTGAGTTGCAGTAAAAGGAGCTCTGTACGGGCAGCCATTTGAATATTGACGCGCTTTCTGCCCATCTCGCGGGTTGGAGGAAAGTGCATTGGTGGGGCTGCGAGGAAGACCCCCGTGAGATGCCCTGGAGTGGAGAAGAGCAAGCGTCCTCATTTTCAAACCACTCGGTTTGACCCAGATACCAGGGGAAATGTTAGAACAGACCATGACTTGAAAGCAATGTGGCAATTACCAGAAGCCAGCATGGATGTTTGAAGAAGTCTTGCCAACTTAGCCTGATTTTGTTTTTGATTGGGTAACTTCCTTCATTGATCGTGGAACTGCCACGGACTGTCTTGCTTTCTGTTCTGCTGCAGACATCATATACCCTGATTTCAGCAAAATATCCCATGACATCCTGAGTAATAAGCTATTTAAGTGTGGGCTGAGTTAATGGCTAAGTAAATACATAGCTGCCTTGAAAATTGTGTTCAAAGAGCGTTCATCAATGGCTCCACGTCAGGCTGGATCAGAAGCACTGAGTCAGGTGCCAAAGAGTTCAGCCCTACACCCTCTACTCTGCAATGTTTTTATGAATGACTTGGATGAAGAGATGGAGAAATGCTTATCAGGTTTGCAGTTGGAGAGAGCTCATGCACCAGAAGACGGAAGTAAAATTCAAAACAAACCTGATAGATCGGAGGAATGGGACAGAATATAGGAATTAAACATAACTGAGACAAGTGCAAACTTCTTCATTTAGGAAAGTACAGGATGGGGCATACGTGGCTTGATAATGGGACTTCTGAAAACGATCTCACCATAATAGTCAAGAATGTGAGTCAGTAGCGTGAGGAGGCTGCAAAGAAGGCAAACGCAGTTGTAGGCTGGGTCAACAGAAGTATCACTTCCAAACCACGGGAAGTAATTATTCCACTTGATTCTGCTTTAGTCAAACTCCACCTCAAGTACTGTCTCTCATTCTGCTCCTCACATTTTTAGAAGTATTGAGAGAAATTAGAGTAGGTTCAGAAAAGAGGAACAAGGTGGTCAGGGGGACTTACAAGGAGAGTGAATAAACTGCATATATTTATCCTTGAGAAAAGTTTACTGATCGCCCCCTTCCAATACTAGAAAAGATGTCACGTTAAAGAAGTCAACGCCAGTTCTCTCTTGATCCCAACTGAAGGGCATGGAGATTACAAGGAAGTAAATTTTTGATGGACCACAGGAAAAAAAAATCCTTACAGCGATGTTTCTCAAAGTTGGAAATTTTAAGATGTGTGGACTTCAACTCCCAGAATTCCCCAGCCAGCATGGCTGGCTGGGGAATTCTGGGAGTTGAAGTCCACACGTCTTAAAGCTGCCAACCTTGAGAATCACTGCACTAAAGGATCTCCTAGATACCTTCCAGTGCTGACATCCTATGATTCGAGGAATGGATTCAAGTTACAGGAAAGGAGAGGGGGGGCACGTCTTCACCAGACCACCAGATATGTTCAGTTCAGCCCAACCACCAGCCACGTTCCTGAGGAAGGAGCCAGAGCGACTGCAGAATGTGGGAAGACCCACCATCTCAATCCCTCTTTGTCAGAAGAAGCCAAAGGCCATGATTCTGAACCAACACACACACACACACACAATGCTTGCATAAAACTCAGTTATCCTTTGAAAACTCACAGTTCTCTAGATTCTGTCATGCAGTTCACAATAGTAAACAGTAAGTGTTAAGGGAAAATTGTACTCAAAAATACATGAAAGCAGTGTACAAAATGCATTGCCCCAGGAGAAACTCTGCAAAACTCAGGTACGTTAGACAAAATGACATAAAGCAACGGGTACAAAAATACACACCGCTTTGGTGCCACAAATTATCCAGGGCGACAAAGCGAACTTGAAAAAGTCACAAAAACGAGAAAGGGAGAGAAAGCCAGCCCCCACCCTGAGCTGGGGATCCGTTCCCACGGACACGTTGTCCTTTCCTTGCTTGAAGGAGCCCGGCACGCCAGATCCAAAGCTCACCCCCTGCCCCGCAGCATCCCACCGGGGCCACCCCACGGCTCCCTGCTCCGTCCCATCCCTGCTAGAGGAAGCAATACCTTTTGGGCCTCGGGGGCATCTTTCTGAGGCGGGCAGGGACCGCTCCTCACGGGGTCTTCTCGGAAGGGGAGACCGTAGGCGGGCTCCCCGGCCTCTTTGCCCCAAAGCCTCCGGGGTGGCAGAGCGCCCTCCCGGAGAGAGCAGGCTGCCACTTGCTCTGAGTCAGGAAACCTGAAAGTCCGCCCAGCCTCTCCTCGGTGAAGCAACAACGCGCGGCGAGTCCCGACACATCCAGGGCTTTCTCCCAGCAGCCAGCCAACAGGAGGGAGGCGCAGGCGGCCCCACGGCTCTCCCAGGCTGCAGCTGCGGGGTGGCTTCCGGCTGGGCACCCCGACTCTTCCCCTAGAGCCCCTCTCTGCCCCCCGCTTGCCTGTGCCTTGAAGGGCAACCTCGCCCAGCCAGGGAGGCTGAAGCAGCCCGCTTAATGTCTGGGCAGAGGCGGGCAAAAGGCAACGGGTGGCGCCCAGAGCAGCTCCCCGCTGGCTGAGGTGACTGGGAATAAAGGACCCAACGGGGGAAGCACATTCATCCCGAGGACTGACTAATCTCACATTCATACAGGCATCATGCTTCACATCCGCTTCGTCAGGGGAGGCTCAAAAAACTATAAAACGCTTATAAAAAAAAAAAAAGCTGATGCATCCTTTTAAGTTGCTCCACTTTATATCTCCCCATTAGAAAGGGACAGGAAAGGGTCGGTTGTCCCTTCACTCCTTCGCTCCAGAAAGAGAAGGCCGGGACCGCGCAGCGCACTGCCCCCCCCCGCCCCTCCCTCTTACCTACCTGCTCAGCTCAGTTCATCCGGACCAGCAGCGAGGTTCAGACCGGCGAGAACAAGCTCGTGCGAGACAGCCCTAAAATGCCCAATGTGATCTGCAAAAGAGAAAGACGCTCCTTTTTAATCTCCATTCTCTTTTTTAATTCGTTTTTTTTTTTTTAAGTCCCATAGGTTAGAAAAATAAAAATGGATTAACTGAAAGTCACACTCATTCCTGAAGGGAGGGCGTTGCAGCCAAGGAAAAGCCGCGGGCACAGGAGTTCACCTCTTCCGGTCCCTCCCGGGGAAGCCCCGGACTTTGGACGGCGTCAGAGAAAGGGGCACGGAGACTGCCCTCCCCACGTCATTGGTTCGTCTGAGGATTTATAAGCCACTTTCCCACAAAGAGAGGCAGATGCCATCCCCAATACCAGTCGATCTTCAGTATTTTCAGCCAAACAGAAAAGGCCAACCCTGCACATTTGGGGGCAGGGAAGGAATCCTGCACGGTTGGATTTAAAAAGCCAAAAGCGCTAATGGGCCAGAAGGGCTTCCCAAATCTTCTGCCCAGGCTGGCTGGGGATGTGGGGCCTGGAGCCCTGCACAGCTGGAGGGAGCTGGGCCGGGGCAGGCCGTCCTCAAAGGCAGAATGCTCCGTTCTGACACAAAGGGAGCCCCTCCTGAGCCCCCCCTGGACTCACCAACGCCCAGCTCAGGCCAGCTGCTCTTCTTCCTCTCCCTGCCCTTCGCTCAAAGGCCACGAGTCCCTTCCCCCTTGATGCCCCCTTTTCAGCAAGCCCAGCTCTGCCCCAGGTCACTAAGCCCCAGATGCTCAGCTCGTCTGTGACATCAGCACAGCCAGCAGCAACAGCAGGAGAAGAGGGGACCCCAGTTTTCAGAAAGGACCCTCCCAAGCCGTGGCCTGAACGTGTCCTGGGAACTGGGGTTGGAAGCCAAGCCCTCACAGCGCAGCTTTCATCTCATGCCTGGCCCCCCGCTCAGGCAGCTTAAAGAAAGTCACGTTCGACTGCTGGGGATTTAAAGCAGCGTTTCCCACCTTCTCCCAACGGATGCAGCTGACTTAATGGGCGATGTGGCCGAGGGTGCGGTCAGGAGAGGGAGCTGCCCAGCCCTGACCTCATTAGCTCTTCAGGTGGCTGCAGGCCCATCTCGGTCTCAGCCCCGGGAAGTGCCCTCGGTGGCTGTTTCGGCTTGGGCACACCTGGTCTCCCTGGCTTGGGTGGGCCTAGGAGGTGGTGGCAGGCTTCGTCCCCTGCTGCACAGGTGGTCAGCTGAAATGGGAGAGGCAGCCAGGCTCTGCCAGCTGCACGCTGCTAGCCAGGAACCACTGGACGCATCACAGGTTTTCTGCTTCTGCCAACACGGAGCTTCACGCAAGGGTGCTTTTTACTGTTTATATAAATTGGGATGGAGGGCAGTGCCGTTTTGCCTGCTCCGTTTCGACTCCACAGCCTCACAACAGCCTCTTCCACGTCACAAGGTCGGAACCAGGCTTGGGCGAGCGCGCCTAACCCCCTGCAGCACTGCTCGGGGGCAGAACTCCTTTGGTATTACCTGCCCCCTCCTGCTTCTCCCCACACCCCTGCTCTGTGCGCGGTGGCCTGGCGGACAGGTCACAGGGGTGAGGAGGGCACAGGGTGATGTTCGGTCCAGGTACAGGCATAGTGCTCTTTCAGAAGATCAGCATCCTCTCTGCCTGCAACCCGCTGGCCAGGCTATTTCGGGACTTGGGTCTAGCGCTCTTTCGAAACAGAACCGCATTCACAACAGCTCGACAGACCAGAGCACCAGCAGCCTCTCCGGCAACAGGACAGGTGGCCAGACACACCGCTCTAAGCGCCCGCTGACCCCTGCCCAGCCCTCCCCCCCACCTTAAAAGGAAAGTGGCTGGTAGCTGTTTTCCCGCTGGCAGGTGACGCTTGGAAGAGGCAGCAAGCGGAATCCACCAGTTTCCTAATCTGCCTCCTGCGGTAAAACAGTGAGGACGATGTTGCCGGCAGAACGGAGTTCAGCAGCTGGGAGAGCGCACTGGATCGCGCTTCCATGTGCCCCTGGTCACTAATCCAAGGGGACAAGGTTCTGGATGCAAACCTGGAACTGACGAAGCCCATCTTTCATCTGCAGGCCAAGCCGATGCAATTAAGATGGTTCCCTTTGCAACGGCTGGAGCAGTAACTAAAACACCAGAACCGGTCAGGCCCAAACTGCAGGCATGCTGAGAGCTCAGGACCCCCGGACCTGCTCGGCAGAGGGTCGCCAACCTCCAGCCTTCCCGCATCTGCTGCCTTCAGGTACGTCAGGACGCAAGTAGTGGGCCTGCCAGGGACAGGCAACAGCGCACCCCTCTTCAGAGCAGGCGAGGGGCGCATCCGCTCTCCAGTACTCGCGCGCTGACACGTGGAAACACCCCCCACGACAAAACACACCGTTTCACATTTCCAAGCCACCGCAGCGCATGTTGGGTGTTTGGTTACTATTCGCAGAACGCTTCCATTTCTCCTTGTACCTCTTGATCCGAAGAACACACCCACTTGTGGCTTTTAAAACACAGAGGATGCAGAAAGTTGCCGAGCAGACCGCACCCCGCCAGGTGCAATGCCAGGTCACAAGCGCTGATCTCCGGCAGGACAACCAGGAGGTATCGCGCCCACCCCAGCGTTTACCAGCACAGCTTACAGGAGGGGTCACTGGAGGCAACGCGGCAAGGCCCGGGCCCAGGACCAGGGGCACCCAGGCGATGCTGCGGGCTTGATCCAGATGCCCTGAAGCACCCGCCCGGCCCCCTGGGCCACCCAGAGGCAGCCGTGCCCCCAGACAGCCTGTTTCCCGTCCCTCCAGAGCTCTGCCTGAAATCCAGAGAGACTCAGCTACGCTCCTGCAGCTGATGGGGAGAACTCGGCGAGAGGCGGGAAGGGTCATTTTCTGCTTCGGTAACCGCGGCTCAGACAGCAAGGCCGCGCTTCAAGGAAGGCAGAGAAGCAGGGGAGTCCACCAATCGGGGCCAGGGTCGTCACGGTCTGGATCAAGCACCAGGCCAAGCCCGTGGCCAGAAGGGAGGACCGGGTGGATTCCCTAAACTGGCTTTGTTTCCAAGCGGAGGACCCTCGGGAGCCAAGCAGCATAAGGCCGAACGGGGCCTCCGAGGGGTCTCCAAGCTCCTTTGGCGCTCGGAGTCTCCCGGCGTTCAGTTCCGAGAGGTGGTCCGAAGCTTCCCGCGGCTGCAAGGCAAAGGCTCTAGCCTGTCGGGGTGCAGGAGAGGCCGCCCAGCTCCTCTGCCCCACGTGCACGGGGGGCAGGCTCGCCCATTCCAAGCCGGCCATCCCGGTGGGTACATCCAGTCCCTATTCGGGAGGCCCATCGGTGAGATGGCTCCCCACCTTCTTCCCGGTGGGTCCCACTGACCACCCAGCTTCCCCTTGTCTTTTGGGGGCCACGAAGGAAGTCCTCCAAACTCAGCTTGGACTGCAGCCAGGGGGGTTATGTGAGACCCAGAGGCTTTTTTTTTTTTGGGTAAATAAATAGAGTGTAATAAAAAACCCTGAAATGTCCACTAGGGCATTTCACACTATGCGCCAACCCTCTGACTCTGGTAACTCAGGCTTGGCCTCCTTGCAACTCTCTTGGGCTTTGTCGAAGTCGGAATTCTTCTGGTCACGAGACTCCCCCTCGCCCCTGGCTTCTTATTTCTTAGGCCTCCCTCCCTTTGCAAACAATCATTTGTTTCTGAGCCCGCTGGCGCTGCAAGCCGCTCCTTTGTTTGTGCCCAGCGGATAAGTAAATTAAATGAAAACGGCTGGAAAGGAAGAACACGAGGCATGCTCTGCGCACCAGGAACAAGACAGGCCTTTGGAGTCCCACGTCTGCCCTCCCGGCCCGTTTCTCAGCTGCCCCAGTGCTGGCATCCGCTGGCCTCGAGGCGCATCGGAGCCCAGTCCTGCTCGCTGCTTCTCCGCAGCCCAGAAAGTGTTTACTGGTTTCCCACCCTTCCTGCGCACCGAAATCCAGCATGCCAGAAGGAAGCGCGCTCGCTTTCTGCACGCAGGGCATGTTTCCACCACGCACCACCCACCTCCTTCATCATCTGGGTAAAAGGCAGGAGTAGGTCCACCACCCCTTCTGAAACCAGAGCCAGCCTGCTTGGGACAGGCCCGTCCGACAACTTATACGCCCTTCTTTTATCGTGGCACGGATTTCGGAAGGGGATTCAGACTCAGGCGTGGAGGTACGTCAGTAAATCTGGAGTTTCTTACCCACCCGGGAACTACAGTTCCCAGGGACACCCGGGAAGAAGCAGCCCACTGGTTACTTGAACCGCACGTTCTAATTTCCACCTCCCTTCTCTATAAAAACCTCCCAAAGAGCTAATAAGGAATAAGCTGCAAATGGATGTCGGGAAGTAAACACAGCCAAACCGGGGCCCCAAGCCGTGGAGTTCCAGCAGGCCAGAAAGTCAAGAGGACAGAGGTCTTCCCCACGGGTTGGCACCTGAGATGGGCCTCGACCCGGACTCTCTCCTGCCACACAGCCCGCCTGGGAGTGCGTGTGTGTTTGTGCACGCGCGCTTTTAAGAAATTACCGCATTGTGTACTTGCAACTCTGAGCCCCGCAGTGCACAATAAGGAGAGGAAGGGAGAGAGGGAGGGAGGGACGCGGCGGTGCCGAAAAGCCTTGGGGGTCAGCCAGATTTCCCAGCCGTCCCTCCCTCTCCACATTCCAGGCCTCTTGGATCCTGACTGGGCTCGGAAGGTTTTTCAAATGAATTCCAGATCCAGAGCACGAGTGATTTGCTGCCTCTTTCAATTCCTTGACTTCTTGCACAGAAGAGAAAATTGTAGCGGAAAGAGTGCAAACTTCTCAAATCCCGGGGGGAACCAGATGACAACGATTTCAGGAGCGTTATTCCAAGGCATTCCCCGAGGCCGGCATGGGATTCCGGTCTCCAAGACGGTTCCTCCCCTCCAGAAAAAAGGGGGAAAGGAAACAAGGGGAAAGGGGGAAAAGAAAGTGGGAATGTTGCTCTTCTGCCACTCTGGGCCTTGGCGCTCGGCCACCCTCAGCGCTCCTCGACACGGATGTGCCTCGCTGAGCGCATTGT